TAAGGCTACCATGGCAGCCCCCCTCCCCCACTTGGGACTTGAACTCATGACCCTTTGGTGAATGAGTTCATAGGCACCACAGCCAGTTTTGTGGACCGGTTGGGAAACTTTTAAAACTGGATTTTAGGGTGTGAAACTCGCAATTAGGAAACTTTAGCACATCTGACAAAAAAAAATGAATGCAAGCTTTTACAACAATTTAAAAGTAGTCTTAAAATATAAAAAAATTACATCGCGTTGACATAAGACATAAAAACAATAAAAAAAAAATCATAACACAAAGACAGTGTACATTTTCTTTGATGAAAAAAGTTGAGTAGTAGCACATTGTAACATGCTTGTGAAGTTCACAGGCAGTCTGTATGTTTGTATTTGTGCAAAAGCTGATCATTCATAGCATCCAAACACTTCACATGTCATTATTGTGCCGGTCACTGCTCTTAGTTTAGTTTTGGGTGCAAGAGGATTATTGATGAAGATGTCTGCAGTAATGTGGATGGCCCTTCCCCCTCGTCTGGCCAACTGGGTGTACCTGCTCCAGACTAAATCAATAGTTTAATCCAATTGCCATTCACTTCCATAGGGATTGATATCACCTCACAAGCATACACAAACATGCTCTCTCTCTCTCTCTCTCTCTCTCTCTCTCTCTCTCTCTCTCTCTCACACACACACACACACCATTAGGAGACCATTACACTGTCTCTACTACAGTTTACAACCTACAATTAGTCAAAGTTAGCAGTTAAAAATGAAATAAAAGACATTTAGGTTTCTTAAAAAAAATAAAACATACAAGCCCCGAACATGTCCCAAAGCTTTATCTAGCATGCAAAGACATGCAAACACAACACGCATGCATGTCTTGGTGGATAACATCACATTAAAATGTCCTGCAGTGATGTCTGACCGCATAAGCAACACTTGTCACATTTGTCAAATCAAATTTATATCACATTCTAACAGCATGACAGTGCATCCTAATGAAAAAGTCCTCTCACATGCACTCAAACAGTCACAGTAGATCTTCATTTAGGGAGGTGGCAGGGGTTCGAGAAGAAAAACACACTTACCACAGTGACTCTCTCAGATGCATACACCCAGTCTGGCTCCAGTCAATCTCTGCCCTCCTCCAAACGTCGAGCTCAGCCGTTCCACCCCTGCATTCCTTCACCTTCCTTTTTCTCTCCTCTATTTTAAAACTCTTCGTCCTCTTTCTACTCACCTTCCACCCTGACATCTCTTTGTGAATTCCATACCACCTCTTTCTATTCTCACCCCTTCCACCAGTCTCCTCTGGTTTTGCCATCCCGGTCTCTCACTTTTCTTGAAGCCATCCTCTAGCCGCTGTTAACTTAACTGCAGTCGGTCTGGTGTTTCTCTTGCTGTGTGTGTGCGTTTCGAGAGAGGGAGTGCAAATCGGGACACATAGGCTAAGTCAGTTTGAATGAAAATTGTGAATGCGCTCTGCTTCCTTCTCCTCCCCCTCTCCCTCTGCCTCTCTCTCCCTCACTCCTCATTTCCTTCCCTCCCCCTTCATCCCCACCCTACTCTCTTGCGCACTCTTTTTTTCCTCACTCTCTTTTGGGTGCCTGCTCCATCTGTATTTCCTCACATCTTCAAACATTTTCACACTCCAGACAGACATTTATATTTTTATACTTCCCCCTTCCACCGTGTTTCTCTTTCATCACTCTTTCTCTCTCCTCATTTAAACAAATGCACACACACATTCATGCTTTCCTCACTGTGTGCCAGACACTTAACCATTTGTGTTCTGTGAGCCACTACCCTAAAAATAGTGTATACCGCTTGTTGTCAGACAATCTCAATGTTTTTTTTTTTAATTAATTTTATTCTCACATATTATCCATATTTGTTTTTGGTTTGTTTTTGTTTTTAGCTTTAGCAACCAGTCTTGTTTGTAAATGCTCATTATAACTCAACTTATGTTTAACTGTTTAATACACTGAAATTTAAGTATTTACATATGTACACATATTTAGACATGCAATTTTGCATATATATATAATTTAAAGTATATTTTCCCTACAGACACACTGCTAAACTCAGATGCAGCATTAACGGATCCATAGCCTACCTTTAAAATTTTTCTCCCTCTCGTGCTCTCCATACTCTCTTCCTTTATAGTGACATATTGATCAGACATTATGGGAGGGGGTGGTGGAGTTGTGGTTACTGAGGTCAGCACCATGGCTAGACTTCCTCACCCCTACGCATGACCCCCGGCCCCCTCCCATGTCCTCGCTGAACCCAAGCTCCCACTGTCCACACTGACCACTGATCAGCCTCAGCCACCATATCCGTCTGACATTGGCAGCTGAGTATGGTTAGAGTGACAGTCAATAGTCAATAGACAGGTTGTGGAGGGTGGGGGAGGATCCAAATCGATCGAAAGATGAACGAGGGAGACTGTAACAGTACAAGGGTGAAAATTTTGTCAGAATTTACTTACCTTCATGTTGGTGTGTTAAAACTGTTTGACTGTTTTTTTTCTTCTTCTGTGGAACATAAAATAAAATAATCAGAAAAATGCTTTGGTGGACTAATTTAAGCATGTTCAATGAACTTAATTAAAGAAAGGAAAACGCCATGAAATAAGTTTATGACTGTTTAACAAAACTAAAACAAGTTAATTTAAACAAATAATGTTTTGCCGATCCAAATGAATCAAAGTTCCTGTGTTGGATAACTAGCAATAGCATGTTAGCATGAAAAAGACAATTGCATTTATTGGTATATGTAACATGAGATGAGCAAGTATGTAGAGCTTGAGCTAATTACTGGTACTTACTACTTGTTATATAGTTATTATTCACTGAGTGAAGCAACAGACTCCATGATCATGTAACCTCCTTCAGCACAATGGGAACCACAAAACCTTAAAACAATTGAAACTCTTCAAAATATCCATCGTAAGTGAGCTTAAACATTAACAAGCCTTTCTCTTTACTGAAAAATACATCAAATTATACTTAATTAAAACTTTCCTAATGCAGTCTCTCTCAACTGCCCAGTTAAATGTCAATAAAAACGATTAACGTAGTTATAGAAAAGATTTTCATATTTAAGCAGAGAGAACATAAAAAATTAAGTTGTGCTAAAAATGTTGTTTACAGAATTGTTGCTTTAGCTCATTTTACAAAGTAACTTGAACAAGCTGCAATTTTTGTGTCCACACAATACGTCAATAGTTTGGGATATTCAGAATATCTCATTTTGAGTTCCCTATAAAGTCAGTCACTTAGGTTTGGAACAACGTGTGTGAGTAAATGATGACAGACTTTAAATTTTTGGCTGAACTATCCTTTAAATATTGTATTAGCTGTTTTAGTGTCATGGGGTTATGAGAACATTGCTTTTGACAATTGAGACCCAATGATGCATGAAATATAAAGACAAAACAAAAGCAAAAATGAATGAGAAACAGTTTTCCATCTCCATTATCATTTAGCCTAGAAAAAAAAAAAAAGCAAACAAGACAGCAGTGACACTACCTGAAAAAATATGGTGGGCTTCCACTCCATTGCTTTCCACTGTAGTTATCTCAGTTCAGTGAGCTTGAAGGCAATAAGGCAGGCCAGGGACAGCACTTTAAAAGCCCTGGGACACAGTAGTGGTGTGTCTGAGCTGAGAGTGTCTTGCAGAAAATGCTACACTGTTAGAAAAGCTCCTCCATTTTAGCAATCAGACAATGTCTGGGTCCCCGTGGACACCCTGATGGACAGACAGAGTGCTTCAGTACATTATGTGGATTGAGGCACATCAGATACCGCTGCCCGAGGCTAAAGCAACATCCTCCTAACCGCTGAAAATCTTTAGTGATTGGATAACAGCAGTGTGATAATGCTAAGTGACCATTTCAATATACAACAGTAAGAGTCATTTATAACAGTGGAGAAGTTAAAAGGGGATCGTTAGGATTTCAGACGGTTCAGCCTCTGCCTGAAGCAAGCCATAGGTCTTCTCTCATTAATACTTGTCTCTGGTGACATGCAATATTTCTGTTAGGCATTTTGTAAATGCACCCTAATGACATTATTATTTCAACATTGACTGTAGCGGGGTTAAGTTACACACAGATAAGCCCCTGCAGTCTGGCACCGTTATATTATTAGAATTGTCTTCAAATGGGCTCCTACACTTTCATTAGCGCATCTTAAGTGCTTTTCATCATTAAGTGTGTACTATCCCTTACTTTCATTATTTGGCCTTTTACTGAAAATATGATCTTGTCTAATTTGACGTGAACGGGTCAGCTCTGCATTCACATGCTTTATAGCAGGAGAACTGCACGATCAGAATGAACAATCCACTCCAGGAGCTGAGATACCAATCAGAAAAAAAAAAAGAGGCGAATGCTGCTCCGCGAGCCAGTGAATCAATACCAACCATCTTAGAAAGGACTGCATATGGGGGAGCGAGCGAAAGACTAATGGAGGAGGACAAGCCTGAGAGAGGAAGAGTAAAGAGATAAATGTAAAAGAGGATTTCCCTTGAAAATGAATCAAAGTCAGCCATTGAAACATAAGGTCAAAGGTAATGGGATTAATGGAGATAATTAAGCCAACTCTTTTTTTCTTTTCTTAAATGAACTCCTTTTAAAAGGCATCAAATATATTATTGGTTAGTTACGAAGATATGCTCACCCATCAAAAATACAGTAAAACCAGTAATATTGTGAAATATTATTATAATTCAAAAGAAATGTTTTACTTTAATATATTTTAAATAATGGGAAAATCATGACTTCAGTCACATGATCCTTCAGAAATCAGTCTAATATGATGATTTGGTGCTCAAGAAACATTATTAGCAATGTTAAAAATAGTTGCGCTGCTGAATGAATAGAAATTTTCAAATGAACAGCATTTGTGGGATTTTTTTGTGTGTGGTTAAAACGACTGTACATGTGTATACAGTATGTGTTTCGATGAATTATTGCAAAATAATATAAATAAAAAAATTTGGCAAAAATATATATTTTTGATCAGTTTATTTGGTGCTATTCTGTCATATAAAACAAGGTCAGCATACAGTGGAGATGTTTTAACGTATTTGCCAACCAGTCACACTTATTTGCACAACTTTAGCAGTAAAGTAACAGACTACAATATAAACTTGCTTACTTCCATAAATAGTAAACAAATTATAATAGCGATTCCCAATAACAGCTTTTACTTTTCAATTCTTATCAACAGCTGATTCTTGCAAGCATGATCACTGGGGTCATTTGTGAGATACAGCATCTCACAAATGACCCCAGTGATCATGCTTGCAAGAATTTAAAAAAAATTTAATAAAAAATTTAACGTTCATCAAGACGCCTGTGCTGTCTATGTTGTGTTGCTTTCCTTTCCGTTAACAGAAATGGCCAGGTCTTTTTGTATACTATCTAATTCATTGCTCTCATCCTCCATCACCACAGCTTTCCACGATTCCTGATGAAGCTTTTCATTCCTTTCAGTTATCTGGGCAGATGGGGGGGATGTTGCCTGCAGAGCAGGAGGAAGATGTTTGAACTCCTCCTCATTTATATCAAAGTCCTTCATTTTATGATCAAGCACCCACCAGCGTCCCACAAAGCCCACATCCAGCACACGTTTGGGCAGCTCAGTCCAGGGCACATAGATTGCTGAACAATGCGCCTCATAAAGGCTGGACTCAGAGTTGTAGTCTGTGTGATAAGTCAAAGAGGCAATGCCCACACTGGCATAGCGCAGCTTGCCCTCGTTTTGCAGTTTCACGAGGGTCTGGACGTGTCCATCTGAGGTGCCACTGCGTATCCATGGTGACAAGAGAGCAAGACGGTTGGAGGTTTCTAGCAGGCTGGTTTCAAAGGAACCCTCATCAGGGTTGGTGTAATAGCAGGCGTACATTCCTCCTAAAAGACCCAGGTATACTGAAGCTTTGAGGGGTCGATCCCGAGCCCCCACAACTACCTCGCGACAAGCTTCCTTATAATCGCTTAAAAGACTACGGCACCATACACCTGAAAACACAGTGAAGAAAATAGCAGATCTTGATAAAAGTTCAATTAATAAAAAGTTCCCATTGACACATTATAAATAAAATAATGCCCTCAAAAATGTTATACATGCAATATGGAAACATAATCTTCTAATGCCATTATAACACAGACAGAGTTAGAATATTTAGCAAACTAAATACAGATTTTTATTTTCTCTGCTTTTTAATTCCATTCAATTTCATATGGTTGTTAATGGCGAGAGCCAGGTTTAGTTTAGTTTTAGTTTAGTTTTTTTTTCTTCTAAAACCTTAAGACTACATTTGAATTTAATTGGTTAAATGGACAAGGACATTAGATTCTGACAGGATGACCACTGGTGAATTTTCTCTTGATAGTATGATTTATGTGTGAGTCTTGATCGTCCTATCCGCCATGGTGTGTAAATGACTTGATTCCAACAGTTAAACAGTTAAAATGGAATATAATGTTTAGTACAAATCCAGATGTATTTCCGTAACGTTAGATTTCAATTAACACGCCTGCACTGCAGCAAATTGACTGACCACCTAAAGCCAATATATGAGCATGAACTATCTTTCAACTTATGTACGAAGCAAAAAGAATAAGCGTGGCTTAGACCTACCTGCGCGACTGTTTATCAGTCTTTGCCATCGTGTGCCCTTGGTTGTCACTGTGGCTGCTGTGGAGCACCATCTCTTCAGCAGCCACGAGGCGGCCATGTTAGCAAATGAACTCACGAACTGTGACAGTTCACGGCATGGTTCACGGTGGATATAGCACTGGAAGAGCTTTCAGAAGTCAGTTTCCAAGACTGTCGACGAAGCAACGATGACGAAGGTGAAACTGTAGAGCCAAAATGGCGAGATGCACGGTACGTCAAATGTTATTAGTCCGGTGGGGAAACACAAAATGTAATTTTCCATTCCAGCATAAAAACTAAAAACAATAAAACAAAAAAAGAGGGGAAGGAGTCGGTGTTTATGTTTTTAAAGCGTTTTTGTCATTATATTTTGTCCTTATTTTAACTGAGGTATTGCTCAGTTTCTTTCATAAAAACGAAATAAAGAGGTCTGCAATTTTGACTATTTGGCTTTATTCAAATTAATAATTTTTCTTTATTAATAAATTTGTTTGTCAAAAGTATTTCATTATTACACAACAGTCAGACACTTTAATTTGTTTGATCAAAGTAGTCAACAACGACAACAAAACACAGAGGTTTTATTTATTCAAAACCCCTTTGGCCTTAGGTATAATACAACGTGGCTTTGACGATCTCTGAGCCATCAATATACTGGAATAATAATGTACAGGTAAAAAAAAAAAAAAACATTTTTAATTCCGGCTTTGTTCCGGTCACGTGGTCGTGTTTTGACGCACCGGAACCCTGCAGGTGACGTGGAATATGGGGACGATAACGTTAAATCCCTGTTTATTAAGACGGTATCAAATCTATTCTGGCTTCAATCGAATCGGTCAATGATTTTTTTTAAATATCAGTTGATCAAAGTATAACATCCGGCCTGACGAAACATTTGTTTTTGTTTTTTTACCTGCTAACTTGAAACAATCTAAGTTGACATACTGCAGGATTAACCTTACGTTACCATATTGTGGCAACCAGGTGAGTGAATTATTCTAAATCTGATGTGATTTTATTACTGACGGCTGTCGAATGATTTTGTTAGGTTAATTATCTTTTTCCATCGCAGATTGTATTCTTATGAGAACTCCCTGATAGACCTAACGTTATAATCTCCAGTCATGACTAGCCCAGATGATTTAAAGTTTCAGGGTAAGTTAATTCTGCCTCTGATATGTGCCACTTTGTTCTAGTCTCTGTCTCTCTGCTTTAATCTTCGTTCTGCACGTTTCCAGAGTTTAATGAAGCCGCAGATCTCCTGTCTTCAAATCCTGGAGCCTCAACCCTCAGCATCTCCACCCCAGCTGCTGAAGAGGTCAAAGTTGACCTGTCAGACGATGAAGACAACCAGCAAGAGAGTTCAGAAGTGAGCTGCAAAACAAATCTGGCAAATAATGGCACAAGTAGCTGCTTGTTTCACATGCCTCTTTGTTAGGGTCAATGCTATGAGCCAGTTTCTTCATTATTCCCACAGTTGCTTGGAGGTGAAAAACAAACTGGTGGCTTTTGGACGTTTGAATACTATCAGTCCTTCTTCAATGTAGATACATTACAGGTATGTACGTTGTTTTCTTAGTTCTGGCTTTCTTTATAACCCTTATGATCATTATGTGGGTCAAATTGAAATGGACCATTATGATTTACCAAAAACAGTAAACCTTTAACATTACATTACAACCGTTGTTACAAACAATATATATATATATATATATATATATATATATATATACGTAACACACCAATATCATTGGGTTCAATACCCAGAAAAATGAATATGCATGATTTAAAACTGATCTAAAAGTATGCCATCAATGCAGTGCAAGTTTCTTCAGATAAAAGCATCGACCAAATGCGTGAATGTCAATATGAGAGGAGTTGAGAAACTGACATAACAAAATACAAAAAAATGTACCACAAACATTCCAAAATAACCTGCAACATAATACAGTAGTACAATATTACTAGTAATCTCATATCTTGATAAATTACTAATATTTTAAACTAAGAGAGATCCTGGTTGCTTGATCATTTACTTACTTGGAGCTACCACATTCAGGTGTGAACATCAACAACTCGAGTCCCCTAGTAATTGTATCTGGTATCTTTATTATTGTAGGTGCTGGATAGGATAAAGGGCTCAGTTATGCCTTTACCAGGACGGAATTTCGTCAAACACCACATTCGAAGTAACCCTGACCTATATGGTAACGTACCACACTACTTTTAACCACTTTACAACACTCCCAAACTATTTATATCTTATTGCATTTTTGCTTTGCTGAATTCTCAGACAGTTGATTTTTATTTTTATTTCTTGCTGTCAGGTCCTTTCTGGATCTGTGTGACTCTAGTGTTCTCGGTGGTCATCAGTGGAAATCTCTCCTCATTTCTGAGTAATGTTGGAGACCCAGATTATCACTACAGACCTGAATTCCACAGAGGTGAGAGAGAGGGCAGTTGGGATAGGATTTTGTAGAGAATGATTCTGCTTTTGATTTGACCTAACACTATTATTAAACAAAAAGAATAGAACTTATTAACATTTGTTTTTAATTCATATACATCAACTACATACTAAAATTAAATGAACCTCCAATCAGATTTTAGGTTCAGTGAACCCACAAATAATTTGAGTTTTTTTTCAAGTCATGTAACGGTTTTGTCTCTGTAATTCGTTAATGAATATACTAAAGAAGGTTTTGTTCTGTTTTAGTCTCGATTGCAGCAGTTACTGTGTTCCTCTATGCATGGCTGGTGCCTCTAGGAGTTTGGGGCTTCCTAACATGGCGTCAAAGTGTTGAGAGACAGATCAGTGGTTACACGTTTTTAGAGACCGTGTGTGTCTACGGTTACTCTCTCTTCATTTATATCCCTACCTCTGTAAGTTTGAGATCATGTTCAAAAAACACAGTCAAATTTCATCATGTTAGACCCAACAAGTCATGATGTCTGTTTTTAGATATTATGGACCATTCCCTTCAACTGGCTCCAGTGGCTGTTGATTGTCATTGCCATGGTGATCTCTGGCTCCGTGTTGGTAATGACATTCTGGCCGGCTGTTCGTGATGATACAAAACTAACGGCTTTCGCTACCATGGCAGTTATAGTGTCACTTCATGCTCTTCTGGCTGTTGGCTGCAAGGTGAGAGAAACTCATCAAATTAATATTCCAGGTTAAATACACCTTAAAATTGTTTAGCTACTTTACAGAAAAACATTTTTACTCTTCTTTGAGCTGTAAAATTCCTTAAGTTGGTCTTTCAAGGTGGGACATTTTTTTTAGGTGCAGCAACTGGTTATTCATTACCATTATTCCTGTTATCTATTTATGAAAGATTGCATATTATTTGAAACAGTTTGATAGCACAGGGAATATACATTTTAATATATGCTTTGTGCTTTCTTTCAAGTGTGTTACATTTTACAAAAACAAAGGATTGAGTCCATATTATTTTCTGTGATATTAATTTGACAACAGATGCTGTTTATAGAAGGTCGAGTGATTTATAATCACTACTATTCAAAAGTTTGGGGTCATCATTATTATGTTTGTTTTAAAGAAATTAGTATAATTTGTTTTATTTAGTAAGGACATTAAATAGATCAAATGACAGTAAATACATGTTCAATGTTACAAAAGATATAAAAACTTTAGAAAAAAAAAAGATACATAAATGATTATGGTTTAAAAATTACTATCAACAAGAAATATTTCTTGTGCATCAAAAGGATCATGTGACACTAAAGACTGGAGTAATGATGCTGAAAATTCAATTCAGCTTAGCATCACAGGAATACATTTCAATATAAAATTGATCAAATAAATGTAGCCTTGGTGAACAGGAGTTCTTTTGTTAAAAACATTCCATTATCTAACCGATCCCAAGCTTTTGAACGGTTGTGTATCCTTTAAGAATGACTGAAATACATAACATAAACTCCCTTTCAATTACAGGAAGTGTCATTTATGATTTCTTCTGGTACAATTACACAATCCATTATGACAAACGCTCAGCTTTAGTAATACATTTTCTTCTCTCGTTTTAGCTCTACTTTTTCCAAGTGGCAACGTACACAGGACCATCACAATCCGGACAACAGATTACCCCAGCTTCAAATCACACATCACTTACCTCAGGAAAACCTCAATGACCGGCTGAACTCAAGGGTCTTTAGATTCAAAGGACATGGAAAATGCAATGAAGAATGAGTTCTGATAAGTGACAAATGCATTCCCAGCAAACATTGAAAGTGTTTCTAGTCTGTAACTAACCCAGCAGATCAAATAACCTCCATCAGATCACAAGTAAAATCTCAGTAATCATTTGCTGATGACTTTAGTTTGTACTATATAGTGATCTGCCTGATATTTTCCTTGAGTGTTATGGTCACTTATGTCCTTTTTTGTGTTTCTTTTATTCAAAATGAAGTAATTTAAAAGTGATCATGCATTACTGTGAACTGATTTGAGGTTTGCCTTATGACCCCTGACTGCTTTCTTTCCTTTCAAGGACACTTTTTTTTTTTTTTATTATAAAATTGAGAGGAAATGTATGTATTAAGTATTTCATTTTGCTTTCCTGGGCAGTTTTTGGTTTGATGACACTGTGGATTAAAATATTTTTGTCAGGGTGGACCTTTTCGTTTTGAGCTTGTTTGATATGAATGGATATGAAAAGGTATGCTTTGTGCTATATCAAGTCATGCTCTTAAAGGGTAGTTCAACCAGAAAAGAAAATGAATTATGTCATTAACTCACCTCATGTCTTTCCAAACAAACAAACAAACAAAGTTTTTCTTCTGTGGAACATTGATAATATTGATATAAGAAAGTTGGTATCCAAACAGTTTTGGCACCCATTTACTTACCCTGATTTAAAAGAAAAATCCAAGACATTTCTCAAGATATCTGTTATGCTCCACAGAAGAAACAAAACGATAAGCCACAGACAGAACTATCCTTTTCAGAAAGAAGTTAAAGGAATATTTCACCCAGAAATAGTTCAGATAATTTCCAAACCCTCATGTTGCTCCAAACCCGTATGACTTCCAATCTGCTCTTTTTCATACAACAAATGTGGACAGAGACCAATAGCTGACCATCAGAAAGGGCAAAAAAGCACCTTAAAAATCAGTATTATGAAAAAAATTCAATAGCTTTTACGTGATGGACAAATTAATGTACCGTTTTAATTATATAGAAAAGAGCAGCTTAAACAGGCAGCAATTATTATTTTGTTTGCATTTCATGAAAGACAGCTAGAAAGTCATAGGTGTAGAACAACATGAGATATTAAATTACACTTTACAATAATGCTTTGTGTGTTAATACAGTCACTAGCATGAACTAACAATTAACTGTTTTGAAGCTTTTATCTTGATTCATATTAATTTCTACATATATTATAGAATTTGAATTTTAGAATGTTAATTTCTACAACATTTCAAGTTGTAGGCTGTAAATGAACAATATTTTATTACGAATAAATGAATTGACAATGAACAATAGATGTATAAACTGACTTTAACTTTGATTAATAAATACTGTAAAAATTGTTAGTTCATAATACCAAATGTATATTAACAAACTGAACATTAATGTAAAATGTACTGAATTTGATCAGTTTAAGATCTGCTTCACTAGAAAGCAGAAAATAAATATTTAGCCATCTACAACTTATCCAGATCACATGATTCCTCAAACCATCAAGTCTGATTTTATACTTCTCTTTTCGCTCTCATCCATAAAACATAAACGCTACTGTAAGCAGCCACACGTAGGGACTTCTCCATCAACATTTAATTTGCTCATTTTTTTGTCTGTTGCTTTTTTTGTGAAAGAAAACCAAAACAAAACGTTAATCCTACAAACTAACAGACATGGTTGTTTTCATCTCATGAAAGTTGCTATTTCAAACCAAATGAACAGATTTTCTTTTGACTGGAAGCGGTGCATACGACTTCAAAGTCTTTGATGGGGTTTTCGTCATATCCCTGTTGTAGGAGGGGAAGGAGGGAGAGAGAGGAGGAAATGAGGAGGAAAGTTATAGCTAGTCAGGCGTCACTTGATCTCCTTTCCTCCACGAGTCTCACAACACACAGAAGTTGACAAAATAAAGGTTCAAGAGATGTAAACTAGGATACTGCCATTCCAAACAGTAGCCCTGCTGCAGCGGTCAGTGTGTGTCCATGGACCTCACGGTTTATGTCATTCATCCTTCTGTCTTCTTCCCCCTAGATGCTGTCTGTCCGTCCCAGCACTCCGCCGTCCTCCTTGGCTGGTAGTGGAGGGTTTGATGCTGGTTCTTTTATTCCTGAAACCTTTTATGTCCTTAAAATTGACTGAGGATGAATCTGTCAATTTATAAGTCAGATTTGCTTCATGTTGGGAGTCCGGGGTCGACAGTAGCGGTCTCGATAAACCATGCCCAGAATTCACCTCAGGGAACACCAAGCAAAATACATAAATCTGGGACTGCACTACGTTAAAACAGTCAGGAATGGAATGAAAAGTAAGACGATCTCTATCTACGCTATATTTGTATACAGGCAGGATCCAGCGGTACTGTGGTAGTAGTCATAATGAACTCTGCAAGCCTACAGCACGTGTCCATCGCTTCATGTGAACATTTTAGGTGAGTCGATGTGGCTGTCAAAAGCCCATGCTGAGAGAATCGAGATGCGATGGCCAGTCGATGTCGCTGGAAACGTGAAAAAGACAAGAGTGAAGAGTAGGTTCAACGGGTTGTCATGAACAGTAGCAAGATCCTGTAATAGATCTGCAATTCATATCAATAGTCAGTCGATGATGGATTATGTGCGGCTAAAAAAAGTGGGAGTTCATGAAGTAAGGGGGAACATGTAGAGATTTGTAAAGCATTTATATATTTAAAAAAAAAAAAAAAAAAAAAAACGTGCCCCGTCGACAGCGTTTCTCGGACCGAGTCCTTTCTGTTGAGTCTTGAGTCTCTGGTTTGTGCTTTTTCAGCATGCTTACAGACAAGTGCTGCCTCCTAGTGGCTGGTGTGGAGCAGGTGCTGCGTGCGGCTGGGGAGGGGAAGAGTAACAATGACACACCTCAGACGTGTTGAACTGGCCGAATGCCTGTGCACACTAGCGTTATAGGGTCGTGGGACGGATATGTAAGAATAAAACACCAGTGAGATAAAGAAAGAGTTTAGAATATATATATACGTATACATGTATATCTATATATAGAGATAGGCGAGAGAGAGAGATAGAGAGAGAGAGAGAGAGAGAGAGAGAGAGAGAGAGAGAGAGAGAGAGAGAGAGAGAGGGGGAGAGAATATAAAGTGATGGTCAGAAACTGGTGCACTGGTTTTGGTATTCTGAATTTGGCTGTGGTTGATCTTCAGGGGTAGAGGGTTGGGGGAATTGGACATGCAGAAGCCATCCCTTGGCCTTAGCTCCCGTAGTGCATGGTGTTGCTGGGGATGGCCATAGGAGATGCCATGGAGATAGCAGGGCCGCCCATGGTGAACTGGTTGGTAACGGGGTAATGAGGACTGCTGCTGCTGGGACCCTGCTGGGCAGTTGTGGCCCCTGAAAAGTGATAAAAGCAATAAGCAACATTGCATCCTTAGCATTTATGAAAACTTAACGTGTTTGCTCAATGCAGCGTGAGACGAATGAGAGCCGCGGCAGGAGACGGATTTGATTTATCACGAGAGTGAGGAGCTGACTAACAAGATGATGGCAGAAGATTTGGTTTCAAAGAGAATTTGCAATATTTTGGATTTAAACCCAATGCTAATAGGGAACCTGCAAAGGCTTTTTTTCAAATTATGTAAGATCCTTTAAAATTAAACTAATTGGAATACAGCGGACTGTAATAGAATGAAGTAGACGTTGTTTTTTTTTTTTTAACATAACGTCCCTGTAACATTATAAATGTTAGAAATATATTGCTAATACACTTTAACATGAGGCCCTGAGCAGCCCTTGTGTCGGTACTGGCAGTAGCATATAGCATTAGCTCCTTAGCCAGTGCTATCTTGATCACATCAGGCAAGGCGGTGTGGAGGTTTCAGCAACCAGGCACCTCAGCTTCACCACGTTCCGCCTCTTTGCCCAATTTTCTGTTATCTGGGAGTGACACACAGTCAAGATGGCGACGGCCGGCTCCACCCACTTTTGGCTTCAAAGACTGAACTGTGACGTACTGAATTGTGGAGTTAGACCGTTAAACAGTTTTTCACCATTGCTTTGTTTAGGATTTAGCTAGCTATGCCTTCGTCACAGAATGCGTATTAACTAGATGCCATCACTTAAAAAACAAACCATTGTCCTTATTTATATTTCCGAAAAACGATCATATCAAAAAGAGGTGGATTAATTTTGTGAAGAGCCATCTTGATGGAGAGCTGAGAATCACCGCCAACACCTTGCCTCTGTAGTGATCATTTTACACGGGATAGTTTTGTAAACTTTCGTCAGAGACAACTAGGATTCACTGATAACCCGCTGTTACTGGTGAATGGGCCTCAGCCTTTACCCTCCAGTGGTTTCAGCACAGCCATTCAAAATATGCTGGGTAGCTAATAACACATTTTTTCTGTGGTGTAACAAACTCAGTCACATACTTAATTTGGACTTTACAGGAACTTTAACATGGCATCTCGAAAATTCAACCCTCATGGTTTGAGAATGGATACAATATATCCATCTGCAGGCACTCACCACATACTATACTGTAAAAGCCTAGTCTGATCACACCAATAACAAATATTCAGTGCAAAATAATATTAAAATGATACCATTATTTTTTTGGTTTACTTTGTGAGGGAAAATAAAAATTCTGTCAATCACTCGTCAGTCGTTCCAGACCCACACGACAAATGTTCATCTTAGTCGAACACAAATGAATATTTTTATGTTTTATATTTTTTTATGTTCTTTCATCATCACAGGAGACCTTCTCCTGCATGAAACTCAACATCTCACACATCAAGCGATGATCAATGTTAATAACACAAATGAAATCGGTTCATTATATAAAGCGTGTCACGTCTCTTTAGAAGACTTTGATTAAACCACTCAATTCATATAGATTACTTTTACAATGTCTATGTAATTAACTGAAATTTTTGGTTGCATAGACTTTCAATGAATGGACAAAAATATCTTCATTTGTTTTCTGAAAACAAGTCTTTTTTTTAACAAAAGTTTTGCGTGATACAACATGGTGAGTAAATTACAGAATTATCATTTCTGGATGAACTATCACTTTAATCTGTAAAAGTGCAGGTCTTGTTTAACTCTGTGAGGACATTAAGGGAAGTGCCACTCACCCTGGACAATTCCGGTGCTCATTATAGAGCCCATTCTGGAGTGAGTGTGATTCACAATCCCCGTGTTCACTGATGGGGAAAAAAGACAAGATACCTCTCTTCAATTTACACACAAAGAAAATGCGATTAACAAGAAACACGTGAACACTTTAACATGAAGTGTAACTTCACAAGAATCAAACTTGTGTAGAAAACCTTTCAATAACAATTCAATTTATTGTTATGTAAAGGGTTTTAGAAGAGATACATAATATAAACATGTAATGCATTAAAGGGGTCATATCATACATTTATTTTTCCCTGTTGTCCACCCTGTCTGATTTCTGCACCTAAGATGTTTTAATGGCCATATTCAACCCTCTCCCAACCTTTATTATATAATAAGCTATACATTTCATAATAATCTCGTCTCAAATGATCAAGTTAAAGATCAAAATTTTATCATTTGCAATGCGGCCCCTTTAATATCACTTTTTTTCAGCCTTTGGTTCATAAAGGGATCGTTCAACCCAAAATTAAAAATCTGTTATTTACTCACCCTCATATTTTTCCAAACCATGCTTTTCATCCTCATCATATAGCTTAATTTTTTCTAATATTCACTCATCACTTTTGTCCATCCACTGAAGTATTTAGGTTTTTGGTAGTGTGCAAAAGACACCTGGAACCAGTTAATCAAGCTCTTACCAGGCATACTAGAAACTTGTAGGTGTGTTGAGGTGAGCTAAACTATTTACTCTGCTTTATATAATGAACAGATTCAATTTAGGTTTTATTCATATATAAACATTGATTAATCAGCACGCACAGAGCGCATCAAATGTGGTAAACACAGAAGCTCAAACTTGCTTGATGCTTGAGAACCAATGAGGTCTGAGCTTCTGGATTACTTTTACCATGTGAAAAATTTGGGTTGCTTGGATTTGATGATGAGAGAATATTACAAATATCTTTATTTGTGTTTCAAGGATGAACTAAAGTTAAGGATTTGGAGAGACAGAATTTTCATTTTTGGGTGAATGGTATCTTTAATTGAACCACACCAGAGAACATTTCACTCCACATGTGTGTATGTCTGAGTGTGTGTCTGTAAATATCCATACGTGCATGCGTGTCTGTACCAAGGGGGATGAGATTGTTGTGGGACACTGTTGTCCCACTGCCACCGATGACAGTGCTGAGATCATAAGCTGTAGGCATCCCTGACAGAGACAGCAAAATTTGAGTGACATTACTCAAAGTTATACAAAAGCAGGGTGGAATTGTGGCCAACTACTGTAAATGTGAAAATAAGTCAATGATTGTGTAAGAGCTACCTGACACAGCCATGCCTTGGCTCATGCTATAGGTTCCCCCCGTGTTCCACATGTTCTCTGAGGGGGAGGAATAGTGTGACCCTGGAGGTGGGGTGGGTGTTGTGCCCGTGTACCTGCAGAACACAGCAAAGCGCAAGTAACACACATTTCAGACATTCTCTTATCCATTTCCAAAGCGATGCGTCCTCTCACCGGAAGAAGGGGTTCTTGAGATCAAGTAGATTACTGGATTTGGAGCCTGTCTGGTCCACTTGAGCAACAATACTAATGTCATAGCTTTGCCTGGGAGGAATTGGAAACAAATGAGGGAGTTAACCACCTAACGTTAACGACCAGAGGGGCAACAAAGAATTGTGTGTGCTCACCTCTTGTTGGCGATTAAAAGTGCAGTGCCTGACATTGTGTCCCCTGCCTTGGCAAAGAGAGGTGACTGCAGCAGACAGCGCACCTGGTACCAGTGAGTGAGGGGTTCGGTGGGGGCCGTAGAGAGCCACACAGTCATCCTGTACAGAGAGACAGCACAAATGCATACCTGTCACAATACTCGGATAACAAAACAAAAATCCCCCTCACATACAAATTTCAACTTCACAAACATGATCAGTACTATAGAAGTAGGAGTACTATAGCTTTTTGATGCCATGTTAGCATCTGATGAGTAACAACAATAGAAGTTTTGCATAAATCAAAACAGTAGTTAATATTATACATATATTTTTTTCATTAACATGATAACAATTGTAAAAACTTTTCTGGTAAGATCTCAATAACAAGTCTTTAGTTGACAAGGGTTAGTTCACCCAAAAATGAAAATGAAGTCATTAATTACTCACCCCCGTGCTGTACCAACCCCGTTAGACCTTCGTTCGTCTTTGGAACACAAATGAAGATTTTTTTAATTAAATTTTGAGAGGTGGATCAGCCTCAAATTGAATCAAAAATATATTCATTTGTGTTCCGAAGACGAACGAAGGTCTTACGAGGGTTGGTACAGCGTGGGGGTGATTAATGACTTAATTTTCATTTTTGGGTGAACTAACCCTTTAAGCTTACTACACAATACATGTTGCCTATGTGCATTAAAAGTGGGAAAGTCTAATAAAATATTTAAATGAAAAGAGGGGTGACTCAAGTGTGAAATCACTGTAAAGAGAATGTTTCGGAACATACGCTGATCCAATGAATGCGACATCAAACCAAAAAGCCAGCCCATGTACAAGCCCTGAATGCATCATGTGGAATTTGAAGGGGATTTCTATCCTGGGAAGAGCAAGAAAAGAATATATTAAAACACTTGACAGGCCAACACGCTTCTTTTATACCATATTTAAAAATAAAAAGGCTGCATTTAAATGCAATACAATTATGTATTTGGTGGACCCATACTTGTAAAGATCGTCTTCCTTAGCTTCTAAAAAGTTGACCGTATATTTCACTGATTTGGCCATAAGGATCCTGATATCAAAAGTGTCCTGAAAGAAATGAGAGATTAAATGAGAGGTGGCGAGTCATCCCAGTATAACACTCATTTTTGCATGCGGAGGACGAAGACACGGGTCAAATCAATCGGGACGACATGCTGTGAGGCCTCTTGTCAAGGACTGAGCCACAGTAAATCAGTCTCAGTCCTAGCTCAGAGGGCTCTCCCGCCACAGCCTGAACTCTGGAGGACGCAAAAACAGCACCCCCTAGAGCCAGACCACAGCAGGTCACTGTCCCAGCAGTGTAACACCATTACAGACACAACAAATGCCTGAACAGCTGACTACTGCTGGATTTAAACCATTCACACAGACTTTAAACTACAATTATCATATATCAGTGGACTTAAATTAAATTGGCCTCTCAAGGGCACAAAAAAGTGGAAAAAGTAGCTTTGATGGATTTCAAAACACTGAGGATGCTAGATGAAAATCAGCAACTCGAATTACATGCATTTTGTTCACAAAAACATGCTTCATAAACCTTCCTTGATGGATATAGATGTATTGCATACCCCCTGACCACAGACAAACAGTGAGCTCAGAATCCTCGACCTCGGCCTTTCACCACAGGCACAAAGGCAAGCATACATACTTCCCCGTCTCCTACATGAAACTACCACTGAATACATTTTCCTAATCCATGAAGCATGCTGCCGTTCTCCATTTTCTAGTAACATCCTCACTGTTCTCATTTGGGCTCAAGCACGTAACTCAATCCTGACCGTATTTACCCTCAAGCCAGCAAAGAGACAAATCTCCAGTTACCTTCATACTTCACACACTATTCATCAGTATGCTCTTTCCTCTGAAGGCACAAATACAAGCTAATGTGTTTTTATGGCTTGCTGCTTTATGAACTTTCCAAACTGTGGCTAACTCTAAAAAGCTAGCATGTACTTACGAATTAACTAGCACACACCCAATCTGCAAGTCATTCCCTCCCAGTTCTCACCACAATAGGCTGTCTGAAGTATTCATCAACCGCAGCTCCTCTCAGCGCAGACAAATCCACCCCATGGAAAGATGGCTGGTACCTGAAAGACAGGAAATTTCAGTTTTTCTAGTATAAACAAAAGAAATCTTCCAGTTATGTCTTAGTCATCTGCTACTATCTCTGTTTATTTACACTTTGAGTCTATCATTTGACATCTGCTACCCGTTACATGACTTCCTGCTTATTTACTAACACTCATTGTTCATTGTGCTTCTTTTCTCCCTATCCACCCAATGTCCTTAAGCTCTTTTAAAAAAAACTCACCAGAAATTGGCCTTCGTAAACTGCTCCATGTAAAGCTGCTCATCTGTGAAAGGAGCGAGGTGAACGTCTCCAATGGTTGGAAACATTTTGCCTGAGAACAGAGGTGTGATACGTACAAATATTGATGAAACAGTGGGGGGGGTCTAACGGTATATGCATTCATACTGAAAATCTCCGGTAAGGGTCTTATGGTGCGGCATGTATGTGTACCAAACAAATACAGTGTTGTTTTAACCACTACACATGCAGAAGTTCTCTGTGTGGGCATTTAAAAGTGTTGAGTTTACCCCCAAAACATGAAAATATAGTTTATTTTCGATATACAGTGATGTGAACACATCTGAAAAATAACGAAGGACACAGTGAGGGGCTGCCAGTTAAGTGCACGATACAAGCTGTCTTAAATATGAGATGTACTTTATATTAAATGGTTGATGACCAGATGTCAAAAGCTCAAGGAAAATTTGATTTCTCAGTTCATCATATTATAAGAACATCCTGTAAGTTTCAGAAATGAAAACGTCCTTGTTAGTCCAATAAAAGCTTTTATTGACACCAGACTCAGCAAACGACTCGTTTTTCAAGTGGGGAACTATGACGTCAAAGAGGATAAAACACCACCCCAGGAATGGTGCAACACACGGACTCTGGGTCGAACATGTATGGGAGAATCATTCCAGTTGCCATTTTACAACATTGGACATTTTCAAAACATTTTCCCCCACGTGAAACTCATTATAATATGCAAAACTGTTATCCACTCACAGCAGTGAGCGTTTACTTCCAAGTCTTCTGTGACGCCCATAAAACCGAGTGTTTCTGAGCTAGGCTCAAAACTAGGGTAGAAAATAGCCTATTACTTATTCATTTTGATGTTTTTGAATGTAAAAACCAAGCGAACGTCATAAGTTGACCTCAATATAATCAAATCCAACAGGACAACCAAGACACCCAAGACAACAATTTAGTCAAATTTAAAAAGCCAGTTCATGACCCCTTTAAGCGCTTCAAACTAAATCATAGACCCGCGTGGTTTGCCCTACTGTCAGATGCATGTGTTAAATGCGATTGAGATGCGTAGTCCTCAGTCCACAATTGAGTAGTAAACTAGTAAATGTTTCAAATGAAAGCAAGTATTTCCATTTTGCAAGCGAGTCTGTGCTTAACTCAGCAGACATTAATGGTTGTCAAATTAAACATTTTGGATCCAAAGGTGTAAGCACTTCAAACACACCCAACTGCAACAGCACCATAAACTGCAGTGTGTGTTGCTGCTATTTGTTCAGTAAACCACTGATGAATAATTAAAAAAAAAAAAAAAACATGTAAAAAAAACATGTAATTTTTCCACCTGTTGTACCGAAAGCATACCTAACAGTCATTTTTGTGTCCCATTACACACCTTTATGACCTAAGCACATGTTAATCCTATGTTGTTTGGTTCTTTTTACTGAATAAACCTTTTCCTCTTACCGCTAGGCTTGAGGAATTTCTTGGCATGTAGATAGCTCTCCAGCATCCTTTCGTTGAACAACATGTAGCCCATGGGTTCAGAGATAATAATGTCCACCTGCTCGGGTAGGGACACTTCCTCCACTTTCCCAGGAATCACCACAACACGCTCTGACAACCTGTTGCTGTTCACAAGAACCTGTGGACGCACAATTATTAGCACTACTATCACTACTTAGAATAACTTTTGATAAGTCATGGTCAAAGGAAATCTTATATCCTCCTAGGGTTGTAACTTGTATCGATATTGGCTTTGGCATGATACCACATTTTTTTCATTAATACTAAATCTAGTTTTTGTCATGAGTTCTGATCCTTTTTTTAGGAGGAGTAAAAATGACTCTCTATATTACTCCATACTTAACATATATAAACATAATAACAACATTAAAATTAATTTCATTATACAACCATACTTATTTAGTGCCAGAATACCACAACCTAATTATCTGCATATTTATTAATGCTTCAATGTGATGTATACTAGTGAAATAAACACTACCATTAAAAACTTTTGGGTCAATAAGAATTTTTGGAAATAAATTAATACCAACGATGCATTAAATAGATCAAATAAATAAATAATAAAAGTGACAGTAAAGCCATGTCTTTCAAAAAAAATAATAATTTGCTATTTATCAAAAAAAAAAAAAATACTTAAATGTATCATGGTTTCCACAAAAATATTAATCAGGTATTAACTGGTTTCAGCATGGATAAGAATTCAGCTTTGTCAAGAGACTTCATCGCCGACCTTAAACTTTTGAATGGTAGTGTTAGTTAGTGATAGAGGAATCTGTATATCATACCTCTGCATGTTGAGCCATGGTGCTGGCCTCCACGGCATAAACTTTACGAGCACCAGCCTGAGCTGCGAAAAATGATAGAATTCCAGAGCCACAACCTACATCCAGAACCACCTGAGACAAAGAGGACACAAAAGGGAGGAATGAGAACAAGAATCAATGCATTTTCAGATAATAATGCATTCAGAGAAGCATTCACAAAGGAATGACCTTTTTTAAAATGGACTCAAGTGTTTTACTTGATTGTAATAAGTCAACTGTTCCAGTTTTAGATATTTAGGTCTGGATAACATTAAATCTAAAAGTCAAGGTCATGACAGCCAAAATGTTCAATAGCCAACACATTTATTTTTTAAAGAGAACAAGAAATGCTGCGGTAAGCTCCGAAATGAGTTCTGAAACTACTGAACTCCACGCCAAGTCCTTTTAAAGTAGTAATGAAACGAGAAAATCAAATTTTCCATGATCTTGACATGTAAGAGGTCATTATAATATAAAAATATTCTTTAATTTTCAGAACTCAAAATTTCCAGCTTTTATTGAAACCAAGCTCTTGCTCCAGATTTTGTCATGGGGTGACATAAGTGTGTGACTAAAGTCAACATCTTTAGAAGAAAATGAATGCCTACTCCTACATCACATCTTTGGCCCAGCTCACAGGTGCGTAAGTGAGATTAGAAGTGAGAAGAGAGATACAGGATCACCAGACTAAAAATATCATCACCTTCCAAAGGATCCTAAATAATACTAGGAAAGTGGTTACTTATTATGTGAATGTGACCGTCATAAGATATGTACCCAACAGAAATGCGACAAATTCCAATGCCTGATCTGTGACCAGTGATTTCTAATTATGTAATAATTAATGTAAAGTCAGACGTTCTTTGTCTTAAAATCGCTTATTGCCGTTTATGCTTCAGTAAATCAAGCCGGTGACTAAACGATCAACTTCACATTGTTTCTCTTAGTAGCATGAAAACAATCTGTTATTTAAATTATATACAGAAAGTGATCAAAGAACGCTCAATCGCAGTGCAAGTTTATCAGTGATGGATTCTGGTTCTGAACTCGCCAAAACTTCCGTTATAATCAATGGCGCTGTCTACACTGCACAATGAATCTCTTACTGTATTCGCATCATGTTTACAGAATTAGTTTTAATGAAAGCATTCGTGAGAGTGCAGAAATAGAGTTGCTATGATGAGATCACTGCATTCACACAATCAACAGACTGTTTATCATCGGATAATGCTCGTTGCTGCAACCTTGCATGCCACAGGAGTAGATCTAAATATAATGCTGTAATCACCACTTTTCACAATTAGTTCATCTTGACAGCTGTAATAGTAAAAACTGTTATGCTAATATGCAAAGATGTTAACCAATCATGAGTGGGCATTTACAATAAAGTCTCACAGCAGCAAACAAACACCCCCCTTTCCAGCGGGATGGTCAAATCAGAAGTGCTAAAGTATAAAATGGGCTTTTATTTCTAAATTAAGACAATATCTGGTCTAAAAAAAAATATGATGACTCCAATGATATGCCTACCCTCCCTTATACCATTCAAATCTCACTGCTGACATTAGATGCCAACTTTCCACAGGGATTGATACATCAAGTCCTATTAGCTCTATCTATATACTAACATTATAACTGCACCTCAGGACACATTATACTTAAAAAAATGAAGTTCATGACCACTCCCTTTAACAGTGCAAAGAGAGAAATAACAGTACTTTGTCCTTGAAGTCTGTATGATTCTGGAGGATGGCTCGTTGATATGTTCCAGTTCGCACGTAATCCTGCATCATGTTTTGTTGCTGAGAGAGGTAGCCATAAAACTGAGAGAGAATAAAAATGAAAGACATTCAGAACATGTCTCTTCTGTTGATGCTGGATCATTACAATAAAAATAACATTAGAGATTAAATGGTAGTCTGGATTCCTGTTATTACTCATTTAAAATGATCTCTTAAGAGATAGGTGTAAGATGAGTAAGAACAGGTTCATCAAATGTCACCTTTGCATATGCATGTCAATTTGTGGCAAAACAAACCTGAAAATACTGTACAGCTGAGGACTCCTCCGTCCTCTCACTGAAGACTGAACGTTCGCCCCTGTGTCCACGGCAATTCTTCAGGAGGTTATAGAATGATGAGAAATCTGGTAAACACAGCAACAGTGGACACATAAGGAGATGACATGCTTCACAGCACCTTCTCTTTATTCAGAGATGCCTATAATGATTTAAATGAGTTTGTACACCATGAGTGACTGCAGCTGTGCTTATCACTTGTAAAAGGAGGTGAACTTTACCTGCTGGAGATGCAAACTGCAGGAGGACACTGTTACAGCCCAGAGTAATGATGAAGGACTGCTTCCCAACACGACTGCATTCTGTCTCCCTTGATACTGAACACTTAAAGACGCATGTCTCCTCGTCTGTGGAGAAAAGCAAAGCAATTGCACGGATATTAATATTCATGCATGATAATCAATTAATTCATAAAAACAGACAGTCCTGCCAAAAAAGATCAATATTTGATATACTTTGAAGAAAAACAGAATAAATGATATCTAAAAGAGTGTGTCAACAGTTTTGAGCAATATATTTGGAGGCAATGTGATCCAAACAAAACACAGGAACCCTTTGACTTGTGTGTATTATGTATATAGATATAGTGAGAGAGAGATAAACAATTGTGTTTCACAGAAAAAAAAAAAAAAAAAAGAAAATCACAAGTTAACAGGTTTTGGAACAAGATGATGGAGAGTAAACGACAGAATGTTCGCTTTTTGGGTGAACCATCGCTTTAAGATGGGTCTGTAGGAAGTTCAATTTAACAATAAAAACAACAAAATACATTTTAGCTTTATTTAAACACTAGATTAAGCTATCTCCTTAAAGGTTACTACTACAAGCTAAACAAAAATGAAGCCAAGCAAACCAAATTAGTCCTGTTCAAAGACACCCAGGCCTTCTAATCACTCCAACAGTAATCGGTAATGCCAGGGTGATGGATTCTGTCATCTATTACCCCAGCTGTTGTAGGATTAGGTCAGGCTGTTCATAGACATATTAGGCTAATAGTAATTTATATAATGGAGTTGAAACCAAGTACAGTCACTCTTTCTTTCAGAAAATACCTCTGAAACAGGGCACTGAAGCCATGAAAATCCAACAGCTCACAAGACTGTTTACAACAAGTTTTAAAGAGACAACAGGTACAACCACAGTGAATGTGAAAGAAACAAAGGGCTATACAAGCATGAATAAGAGTGTGGAAAAGAGAAATTACTTCCTTAAAGTTGCACTCAATATGTTTTTTTTTGGCTAACATTCTACAATCAATTTATTTGACCATTTTATTTACCCAATCCATACTTATTCCATTTGGAACGATGAATTTCACACAATTTGATTTGTTTGAATTTTGTAAAGCACATTGATCACTGGCTAAAAGTACAACACAAATATATTATTAGTATCATCATTATTAACCCTGTCAATTGAACAACAAGATCATCTCACACCAGTGTAAATCATTTTTAAATTGACAAAATTTTAATTTCTTTGTGAAATGCAAAAAGAAAACCTTCAGCAGATTACCATCTGATTATAGGCAATAATGAATTAAGAGTGTATCTCCGCAAAATATGAATTAAATTTTCTTAATGAATTTGGGCTTTCAACGAAAAAATGCTGAGGGTTGAATTTGGGGATTAGTGGCATGCATTTGGGGCTCAAGGAATCAAAACTTTTAAATAAGAAATCTATGGGTTGTGGGTCACGCATCTGCTTCAGTAAGACATTCATCTTCTCATCCACGGGACATCGGCAGCATGAGGCTCCAAACAAAAGCCCTGAGAACTGAATGAACAGGCGGGACACTGGAGAAAAGGAGGCGGGGGACCCACTATTGTTCCCCGCAGAACAAAGATGAATGGCCAAACGGTGCTGCCGTAAGAAACCTTCGCGTAATTTACATTACTTTCTCAATGTTTTCTGCACTTTGAGAAAGAGAAACCGGACTGTGTTTCATGGTACAGTATAAAAGTAGAGAGGTGGCGCAGAACTGCGCAATCAATCAAGTAAATTTGCAGCATCCATTCAGCCCAGCATCCAACCAGGTTAAATTTCAACAATTTCAATAAACACATCAATGTTTACATAAACAAAACCGACGCGAATCATAACCAACGAGGTTTCTGAAGCGTGATACTATGACTCAAGGTTTAACTCACGACTGCGGCTAACTTTATAGGCGCCAATCCACATTATCCAAATCTATCCTTACTACCAGCTAATAACTTACATGTCTGGAAGAAAGCCTGAATGCACAGGGCATACATCTGGGGAAAACCCTCATACACAGGACATGTATTTATAATGTATATACTGTAGAGACGCACTCAGTGCTGAATTCCTGAATCTCGTGCATATTAGCTGGGTAACGTTAGCTGCTAACTAAGCAGCTTAACACAATACGAAGTGTTTACGGATGCTAACATGCTATCAACGTGGTTTGTGGGATGCATGTTTCAACCGAAGCCCTGGCTCAAGCAACTTTACATGTTTTAGAGGGCATACATGGGCACGAGAGCCGCATTTGAGGACACAACTCAAAAGTAGTCTGTCCCTGTGACCAGGGGTTGCAACACACGCACATGCCGCACGCACATCACTCTCATTAAGCTAAGCTAGGATACACCGCTCAGCTGAGGCCGGATGCAAAGAGTTTAAAGCCAGCATCTACTCACTGTTCGAGAGGCTTATGAGAGCCGCGTCCTGGTTGGTTTTGATCTCTAGTCGCAGAGGCTGCTGCTCTGAATGTCGCTGTATGTCTCCATTGGCGTCTCCGATGGAGAGGAGGCGCACGCCTGGGAACACGGACACCGCCATCTTCGATCTGGGGAGAGTCATGCAGGCAGCTCGCAGCGGCTCAGATCTCCCCTGGAGGAGTCAATGGTCAAGATACGAGGCCTGACTTACTACTGCCTCCACATGGCCACATCTTCTTTTTTTTTCCAGCTGTAGTTCAATTTAAGACATGATAGTGTTACTAAAAAGCACGAGTAGGCTATTAATAATAAACATGATACAGGAAATGTTTGGTGGGAAATCTGCTTTATTGTACAGTACGTGAAAACTATGTTATCTCTTTTAAAGTAGGACACCAGGTGAATGGTAAAACAAACAAACAAAAAAGGGCAATTTTCTTTGCATTTCAAAATTCAAGACTATTTGTATAGCCTTCCGCAGAAATCTGAACAGTGAAAAAAAATCTTCTTTTTTAATCACACCAGAAATCAAAAGATTTGTCAAAAGCCAGAAAAGAAATAATGTTTTTAGGAATAAAATGCTATAAATCAAGAGGATATATACAAACCCCTATCTTCATAATATAAAGTTTGTTGTATGTATGATACTGAATTGGACATATACTGTTATAGATTTTATTCATATTTTAAATAATCTTTTGTTTTTATGTTCTCTTTTCATTTTAAATCTTACTATAATTTACTAATTTAGTTTTTAATTTAACTAATTTAATTTTGTTTTATATATATATATATATATATAATATTTCTTTTTTGTTTACATTTTTATTCAATTCCAGTTTAGTGCTTCAAATTCTAAGCGGCATCTCTAATATTTGCTGCATGTAGTCTAATATTTATATTTTGTCAGCTTTATTTCAATTAACCAGTATTTTCAAGTTTTGTTATTATTAGTTAACAATAACTCTGTTGTTGCTTTTAAAACCATAGAAAATTAAAATGTGATATTGTTCAAACAATTCAGACTCATTTTATTTTGTCTCAGTTTTTAATAAAGAAACGTAAAGTATATAGTTAAGTATGTCATAGTGCACACAAATCGGATGTTGCTCATATAGGCACGATCACACTCAAAAGGCAAGACATACATGAGGTAATTATACATGACTGAAAAAATTAACACCACAGGCCAGCAGAAAAAAAAACCCATGTACAAATGACATTTGCATGAATGTCCAGTGGTGGACTGATAAAGACACAGTTCAGATAAATTTGCATGCAAGGGCTGAAAGTATATGCAAAAACAGGCCAGCTGATATGCTGATCAGTCAGTGGTGTTCAATTCATAGACTAAAGGTGCAACAGTCAGACAGCACTCTTTCATGAGCAAATGTCAGTAAAAAAATAGAGGGGGAAAAAAAAGATAATTCTCCACTTGAGTCTCGTGTAAACACTGTTTAACATTTATGAAACTTCAAAATGATGCAGAAACAATTACCCACCAGAAAATACATTTGACCAAAAAGTAGTACCTCATTAAGAAATTAATAAGAAAAGTCAATATATATATATATATATATATATATATATCAGAAACAGCATCAATCTTTATCAAAAAGAACCTGAGATTCAATGCATCTCTCTTCTTCAAATATTAATACAATACCTTAAATACAGAAGTTTATTGGCAATAACTGCCCATGTATAAGCCTAATTGTATCAATAAACAAATAAAGAGATTCAGTATTTCATCTTAGACCGAACAAATTACAACAAGAAATAATTTTTCTTTTTTTTGTTTGTTTATGGCTGGTATTCAAATTGACTTGGCTACACAGTAATAAATGTATTGCATATTTTTACATACGTGGCATCACTTCTCCAGTGGACTGTTTGACCAACTGAGCACTTTAATTTCCTCCTGAAACCACCTACTAATGTAAGTTTTGCGTTAGTATGTCCTTAATTAACAGTATACAAATTAACACTTTTAAACCACCTTTCAGGGGTTTTCTTCATAAATCACATTATTGAACGTGCAATACTTCAAGTCACAATGCAGCTTACAAATTAAACAATTTAGTGTAATAGTGCTGATCCAGCTCTGCTGTAGGGTAAAGGGGAACTGAATGTAGTGTAGTGAAAAACATTTGTGTGAAAGAGGAATGTTCAGTTTCTCCAGATTCTTCATGACTCCTTTAGAGGGAAGAGAGAGAGATAGAGATTCATATTCCTGCTCACATTCTGGTTAAACAGGAAATGTACAGAAAAGAAAAAGTAACACTGAGCTGTCTGTTGGTACCTCAGAAGAGTGCACATGATTTGGGGGGTCGGAAGGGGTTGTCACTGGATGGTACCCCCATGAGGAGAGGGTCCTTCTGAGCATTTTGCAAGCAGAAAGTCTTCAGATCTGTCGCAGCTTGTGAAACCTAGAAGGAAAGAGAGATTATATAAAATACAGACAGACACACACCTTCTCTGTCAGTGGTTTTTATTTTATTTTTTATTATTTTCAACATAAAACCAAAGACATCCAAACTACCTTGTGAATTTGATGAGAGAATACCATGAGTCTGTCATCAAAACTAAATGAAGCTGCTTTCTACTTTGGACAATCTAAAATATAAAACATTCTGGGTTGTTTAACACTTTTTTTGTTTACTGATTCCATATGTGTTCTTTCAAAGTGGATGTCTTCACGATTACCATGGTGTATGAAATGTGCAATATAAATAAACTTGCCTTGCCTTGTAAAATGTAGAAAATAATAAATAAAAGAAAATCAAGAAAAAAACAAGAAGGTGTCTAAACGTTTGGCTGGTACTGGATGATTATAAACGTGGTTTGTGGAGCAACAAGGCTTTATTGCCATCACATTTTCCTAAATCACGCAGTCAGGAGTTACAGAGTTTATTTGATTCATGATAAATTTAATAATAACACAAAGCCTCGTGTTGTTTTTAGAATAGTGTGCTTTGGGGCCAGTGGTAACTAATATAGATTTGGATTATTCCGGCTAACAAATGTGAGATTGTGTCACACACTGACAATCAACAAAGAGCTCCACTGTGCGCTGCGCGCGACACTCAACACACAGCAGTGTCGTGCGCGCGCACTACTGCCTGAAGTGAGTGGAGACAGAAACACTGTGCACGAGAAAGAGGTTAGAGCCTTTTAAGTTGAAATGTAATTATTATTCACATTACAAACGTTCAGCAATACTGTTCGGTAACAACGTTTGATTAAGTTACATCCGATTAAATAAAGAGAACTTAATTGCACAACCAGCCATTACGGTAGAAGCTTGCATACAGCTAAAGCATTATAATATATCATATACTTTTTGGTATTATGCTTCATTTGTATTAGATATGTTGTAAAAGCTCTCACAAGGATCAAAAAATGTTTTAAAACAACGATAATTACACAAAGTAGCAGGATGTTCGGACAGGATCGACAGGTCTGTCAAGTCACACCCTGTTGTTAGCAAAGATTCCCAATCTTTTGGGCTTATTTTTTTTTTAATTCTCACTCACCTTAATTCTGCGGATTCCGGCTTCGAATCGCAGCTGCTTGACGGTTTTCTGTAGGCTCATCACACCGCTTGCGCTGTTATTCGACATGTCTCCTAACAGATCCGGGAAAGTTTGCAAGTTGCAACAAATGTCAAGACGAGACTGACTTTGGCAACAACTGGCTCAACTGCGCCCCTATCTTCGAAACCGACGCGGCGTTTTATGCAGCGACTGCGCGTGAGGACATAACAATTCAAGAAATGGGTTCAATAATTAACCCGAATAAACCCCGTTGACTTGTGTTGTTATATGAGCTCGCCCTATTTTCTACCCACAACCCACTTTTTCTACTTTCATTTATTTGTATGTTTATATTACTTTTTTCTCGTGGGTATTAGCTGTCCATACAATTAACTTGTAATTTTAGGTTTCACTAGACAAACACATGCAAACATTATTATTTAAGTGTGTAAATGCAATATTAATACTAATAACTTTATTTTGATGCTAATAAGACAATTCATTGCTCACTTTAAAGTTACTTTACACAAAAGGAAAGATTATGAATAAAGTCTTTCTACATCGAATTGCGCCATCTTGCGTTCGCGACGCGTCTAGTTTCACCATGTGGATCCGCTTCACCAGAGCCCTTTTTTACAAGAGGAGCCTATTTCCTGTTCCGTTTGAATGGAAGCAACGGAGATGTCTCAGTTTATTTTATTTGCATATATCTACCAGACCAGTTTCACTGAGATTAAAACAAGATGTAATTTAGTCATAGTATCAGAGACAAACTAACAAGATTAAAACATAACATATACACGATATAAAATGCACCAAAAAAAAAAAACATTAAAACCTAATTTCTTAGGAAAAGGTTTCATGCCTCATTCGCACTCTTTATTATGTCTTATATTCACCAATAGATATAAATGTGTCTAATTTTAAATGATTCTCCTTATTATACTAGGATATACCGTGATACTGTGTTTGTGTGGGAAAAGCTTGCCATATAGCCTAATAATAATCTGTTTTACTTCAAATTTTCCATACCAACCCAAAAATATTAAAATGCACATTACAAAACAAAGATAGACAAGGCATTATCTTCAATGAGAGTGTCTGGCTTCACTATCAGTCAAGCTGCTGAATTTCACATCCGGGTCAATAGGGGTCGTGTGAGGGTTGCTCAACAAAAAATATGTTGTTACGTGTGAGTATTTAACCGCCTTCTCTAAATTAAGAATTAATTTAAAAAATGTGTCACAGTAAGTGAAACAACTCGTACCTTACTATAGTAGCAATGACATTTATGATACACGCTATTCTTCAAATATACTTTTGCCAGCAGGATTGCTTATGTAAAACGACTTGGTGTCTGTAAGTTTATGACTTGCTCGTTTACACAAAATTTGCGTTTTTTAATTGACACGTAAAGTAATGTCTTTAAGCTGATTTGTGCTCTGTTGAGCGTCACAGTGATGTCAAGCTCGACACTAAAATCTCCAACTACCTTCGATACATGATGTTGACTCTTTTCGGCCACTATCATCACCACAATAAACCGTTGTCTTTTTAGAGGGTCTTACAATGTGGTGTTTCTGCACTCAAAGTCAACCGGTCCATTCATCTGAGTGCGCCATGGAGAAGTCCACTTATACCTATAGTTGTGGAGC